ATCTATGTTAACCAAAAACGAAGCAAAGAGGGTCATATAATCGCCTAAAGCCACTGTCTGACGGTTTAGGTGGAAGGCGTATGAACACGGGCATGGGTGAGCCCCGTGAATCATCACTGTGAGGTGCCCACCTGGAGAGCCAAGGCAGATGATGCTTCACCGATTTCGATCTGGACTCCTAGAGGGAGGGAGGGGATAGGACTGTTTACTCTGTGCAGCCACACTGTGGAACCTTGTGTTGTGTTTCAAGTGACACATCATTCAAAGGGCTACTGATAAACTGGAATGTATTCATAGGCTGGAAAATGGGATGTTGAATGGAGTAGACATCACAGAGTAGTGACTAAAGAAACTGCAAATATTTGGTGTAGAGAAGAACCGTCTGAGTGGGTGATGATAGATTCCCTCTAATATTTGAGGGACCATCATGTGAAAAGTACACTAGCCCTGAGCTCCCAAGCTTCTAAATTGAGGGCCAATAAATAGAAGCTCCGGTGAGGTTCCCCGTACCGTGGAACCAGACCTTTTGGCTCAGGGCTTCAAAAGATGGAATGGGCTTCTCCCTCCCAGGGCACTGCATTTTCAGTGGAGGTGTTGCATGGAGGAGATATTTTTAAAGGGCAGTGTTCACAGTTCAGATTTGCAGTTGGACAAGATGACCTTTAAGGTGCTTTCCTGCACCTGGGGTTTTACGATTCTATTTCTAGTGTGCTTTGACGCTGGGCATGTGTCACATTGTTTGAATCAAACACTGGACAGGAGCACAGTTTGGAATGTTGATGGCACTCACATCTATTTTGTGTTTCAATTTCTGGAAGCGGTCTCTTTGTCTTTGAGGCAGTTTGGTCCCTGACCTTCTGTAACATTTGGATCCCAGCCACACTGTCTTTGTTTACTGTAAAGAGCATGGAAAAACTGACTTCCTGACAGTGCTCTGCAAAGTCTAAGGTCAAACCACTCACAGGTGAACAAACACAGTCTTTCCACCTTCAAATTGCCATTTGGCCCCAGTAAACTGGATCAGGGTAATAATACTGGGTAACAGAAAGAGGGGAAACCAGGGCTCTGCCAGCCATTAGTCACTTTGTCATTCTGCTTTGTGAAGAGCTAATCGTAATTCGGTATCCATTTTGGGGAAATTAGAAAATATGGCATGCAATTTTAAGTCCTCTAGCAACCTAGTAAATAGGCCTGTAGAGCCTTCCTTTCTCTACAGTCTGGTCACTATCATCAGTATCTCTCAGGATTGCAGAGACAAAGCGTAGTAGCATTCTTATTCACTTAAGGGATTTAAGAGTCACACTCGCTGAGTATTCCTATCATCCAAGCTCCCTCTTTTATGGGTAAGACCTCAACGTGGCCTAATGGGTTGACTTCCCTTCAAGAAGCAATATCTTTTTTTTTTGCTTTTAAACTAACCTCTGCTGTGCTTTACTGTTGTTCAAAAGCAGTAGGTCCCCTTCGTCAAAGAGAGGGAAGTGTCTTCCTGGGTGAGGGTATCGTAAACTCTTTATGGGCCTAGACAGTGCCTCATTCATTTTATTCTCCTCCCATCATGCTTAATATACCGTCTGATCCTAGAAGGTCCACATAACACATTTGTGTGAGTGTCACCGAACAAACCTGTGACCTCACTCACATATTACCCATTTACTTGAAATCACTTATTTGTCAGATTCAAGTTTCCTTCTTGATATTTAAAGATTAATCACTAGAATTGACCTAAAGCAATATAAAAAATATTCCCAACATAAATTTGCATTTTTTTTTTTTGCTTTAAGAATGTAGGAATAAATCTGGCTTTAACTATATTTTTTTCCCTTGGTCTCTAGTGTAAGCAGGGTCTTGAAATGCCCTAGTTATCTAACATTGCTCTTGAACTCCACTTAGAGATGATATACTAGACTTTTACTAAAATATATCTGGGTATTAAAAACCCAATTCTTTGTGGCTGATGAGAAAGATTATTAAACTTTTTTCCCCAGCTATAATATGAGGCAGTAAGACCCCTTTTTACTTCCAGAGCCAGAGGCAGTATGTCATATTAACCTTCATTAGCTGCCTAGGAGATGAGGTGCATTTGTTAATTTAGTATGCTGGTGAGCTAAGATTGTATGCGAAGGCTGATAAGCTTGTGTGGTTTCCCTGCTTTGCTACATATCAAAAAAAAAAAAAAAAAAAAGAATGGTTAAGTATTTTAGGATACTGATTTTATTGCCTTGCTAAGTGCAGTGTTCGAATTAGGGGCTGGGCCTGGGTAAGATGGGTCTGCAGGTGATGGGCAAAGATTGATGTGGCTGGAGAAGGGCAGAGCCAACACGACCTGATCAAAGCAGGCCTGAAGAGGAGCGTCTGAGGGGCGTAGTGAGGGTGAAAGCAGGTATCGTCGCAAACCTGGCCCAAAGGTGGCAACAGAAAATGGATTCTATTTCCACATATATAATTTCATGATGGACCTTTCCCCTTGGATGTCCTATGAAATATTAAGTTTTCTGTAGAGTTTTTCCTTCTATGTAGAATTGCTTTTAATTTTTCCATTTCTACCTCCATTTACTTATGGACTCATTCACCATGTAAAAACAAAATGTATCAAGTGTTGTGCCTGCTAGTCAGGAAACAGAGATGAATGACACAACTCCTAAACTCAAGGAACTGCTTGCCTAATTTCTCCAGGTTTAAAAAGTGTGCCGTCAACTTTGCTATCATCGTTTTCCCCATTCCCCAAGAACACCTCAGTAATGTTATTTCTCTTCTCATAAAGCCTCCGAAGCCATCTCCGTTTTTCTTCTGCCGCCACCAGAGCGCGGGCACCATGCCCTTAAAGTCAGGCTATCGCAGGAACCTCTTTACTCTCCTCTTTCTTTCTCCCTCCACGAATTATAGCCGTGGCTACCTGTAATGTTGTTTGCGTGGCTTATGATAAGGGTAAAATGCCTTAGTCTTGTAATATGGCCATCCCTGGTCTGGTCTCACCTCTACAAAACTTACACTCCAACCAGATTGATCCCCTCACGCACCTTCAGTCAGGTTGTGTTCTCACCTTTGTGGTTTTCCAGCTCCGAGGCGGTACAGCATGGCAGTTAGAAAGATGTGCCCGGGGGCCAGAAGTACTTCACCTCTTACCTGCTGTGCAGTCTTGGGCAGCTTATTTAACCTCTCTTTTGTGCTTCTGTATCATTGAAAAGAGCTTTTCAAAGCAATAAGTCCCTCCCAGGATTGTTAAGATTAAGTGCATTCATGTGTGTGAAATGCTTAGAAGAGACCCTGGCATAAATTAAATGCTAGTGTTTCGCTATAGCTGTTACTATTAATTGCTGTGACCCAAACCTCGCCCCCTACCCTGTCCAGACACTTCATAGCTCACTGCAGATCTCAGGGTTGTCTGGGCACCTTTCCTGACATTTAGGTACAAGTAGTCTTTCCCTTTTCAGCCCTTTTATGGGGCTATTTAGCCAACATTCATTTGGTAGGCAGATTGAGACCTGTTTATTATTGTTATAGGAAGTAGACCTTGAAGAGATAGCCATTCATGACAGTACATGGTGAGTGCCAATAGAAACAGCGCAGGTTCCATCGATTATACATTGTCTGAGGGCGGGAACAGTGCCTCATGTGTCTTTGTTTTCCTTACAGCCCTCTATGCCTACTTATTAACAAAAGCAAGTCAAAATTATTATTTTTTTCCTGATTCAATGGGTGATGTGTTCAGAGGATCAGGAATAGACCAGTCTACTGAAATAATGTACAGTCAGATATAGGGTGTCTTTTACTGGTAGCATATGCATGTGGAAAAATAAGGAGCCATCCTCAGTTTTGGACAGTGGATCGCCCAGACCCCATGGACAGGGGCTCTGGACATTCAGAACATGGTGGTTTATTAGGATTCGTCTAGTGGCAGGTTGCCCAGTGGACTGGAACAAAGGAGACCAGCGAGAAGATTGTTGAGTGTGAGTGCATGAGCGTAGACTCTAGAATAGAGGAATGGAGAGGAAATCTTAAATTCAAGGGTAGTTTGTAGGGAAAGAATCCATAGAACTTGGGAGTTCATACAGGTTGATGGCTAGGAAAGAATGAAAACGTGACTGCTGGGTTTCTCCCTTAGATGTCTTTGGAGTATCCAAATTGGGAGAAGGTTGGCTTTGAAGATAAAAAGTTACATGCAGTTACTGGACTGTGAGCTCCAGGATGGAAGAGACCTTACCCGTCTTCTCCCCAGTGTCTAGGACAATCCCTGACTGTCCTACGACTGGAGGCTGATCAGTGTATCTTGAACGAATTAAGGGCCGCTTACCTTGACAATCTACAGTTGAATAAGACAAGTTGTAGATAATTCTTGCCACCTGTTTACTGATTCTCTGGTTCTAGTTAGGTGGCATGATCACATTTTCTAAAGAAGCATACCGCTCACGTCATGGGCAGGATGTCCCAAATTGGCAGCGTATTTAATTCCAGGATGAGTGACGGAATCTACAAGGCCACCTCTCTCCTACCTGCCTTAATGGAACTAGTAAAACGTACCTGGCAGTGCAGCGCCTCTGCAGAGAGGTGCTCCAGAAAGCAGTTGTTTGCTCTCACCCTGCCGACAAGTAGCAATACCCAAGTGGCTTAAGGGCTCTAGATGCAGCCATGAGCAGCATTAGAAAAATTCCCCCACCATTTGCCAGCATTAGATGCCAAACTGCAAATAAGAGGCACATGTCAATTCAATGAAGCAGAGACATTTTGCTTGTTTCTAATGCTTACTTCCAGGAGAACTTTATTATATGTTTGTATGCCTTTAAATAAATTGCATTTTTTGAAAATAATGAAAACTGTCTCGTCTTTTCTCCCTACGAAGGGGCAAGCTTCTCCCACTTGGGTGAATGTTGCCTGTGCCACTCACTGAAGAAAGGGGGAGTGGTCTTGGCAAGCATCTTATTAGTCTAAAAATAAATTATTCAGAATGCAGGTTCAGATACAGATTGCAGGGGGAGATAACAGAATTGGTTTTCCAAGCCTGATCATGCTCTGAAGACATGGTGTGTGCTTTTCAGGAATCCACTTAAGTGGAATCAGCTTTGACGAATACAAACTAGAAATAATCTTGCTGCCATCCAGCTAGTGTCTGCGGTACAGCATCCTCAGAACGTCTCGAAGCACCCATGGTCTCTTTAGGCTATGTAAGTGTGTGTATAGGAAAGTCTGTAGGCATTCACAAGCATTTCTTCAGAGATGCCTTTTCCTCATTGTTCTTTTAAGGAAATCTCTTCCTGGCAGCACGAGAGGGGCATGTCTCGCTTCAGATTTGTCTCCCCTCCTACTCCCGTGCCTCGGCAACACAGTTGACCACATCAGCAGCCGACTGCAGTTGTCATGTGGCTTCTCATGTGATGCTGGGTCTGCAGCACTTTGGAGCAAAAAGCCTTTGTGACTCGGCACTCATGGACAGTAGCGTTCAGGGGCAGAAGAGATTTTGGAGGGGGCGGGGAGGCCAGTAACCCGAGAAACGTCAGAAATAAAAGTCACATGAAGTACTCTGATCTATGTATTATTTTTTTTTGAAATTTGATTTTAACTCTTGCTTTTTTTTTATGGTTTGTGTCTGTTTTTTCCACCCCCGCAGGCACCGAGCTGCGCTGTTTTGTGTTCCTTCCTTCCTTCCTTCCTTTTTTTTTTTTAATTTTAATTCTGAAGCCAGACCGTCTTAACTCACAGCTCCAGGGCTGCATCGCTGTGGGCACGCCAAGCTTCCCCTGGTTACCTGAGCTGCTCCTGCCGTCTCCTGGCCTCGGCTTCTCCGTGGTGCACCCGAACCCGGCATCGATGGTCTACGTAGTGAGGAAGAAGGACCTGCTGGTGGAGCTCTGGCCAGGGTCCCCTCGCAGCCGGATGAGGGGACTTGGAGGACAGGGTGATGCTGCAAAAGACCCGGGGTGGGATGGATAGAAAGAATGCCAAGGACCAGGGCAGGAGAAGTTAGGAATACTGTCCATCCAGTGCCCACCGATCCTCCGCAGGGCGCACCCAGCTCGGGCTGCTCCCAGGGATTAGTCTGGGGGGAAACCCATGCCGAGATGTGGTGGCATTTTACCCGAGAGTGGAGCTGAAGATGGATAAACCAGGTATCTGATGTGTCTGCCTGCCTGACGACGAGGCAGAGTTGGAGGAAAGCAGAGCGAGCGAGCGCCTGAGGAAGAAAGAGATGCCGAATGCCGTTTGATTGCCTGCCGCTCGCCCTGCATTCTCATTCTAGGGAGGATGGCATAATTTGTAACCCAGTACATGGATGGAGGAACCGTAAATTGTAGTCTGGATGTCCCCGGTGCCGTCAAGGAAGAAAACTGTGACGGGCTAGGTGACTGGACCCGTGTCCCCAGAGAAAAGCGCAGCCTGCAGCATGGATTTAAATGCATGTGCATGCATGTAGAGACATGAAACGAGAGATTTCTGACCGTCTTACACAGGAAGTCTGTCACTTTGCTGGGTCGGGCTTCATTGCAGCTTGTATTTTCAGCTTCAGCTCAACACCCATTTCCTGACTAGCTAGAGAGCACGGCCAAAGCAGCTGCACGCAGAATTTTCCTGTTAACGTGAAAGCATCGCTCCTCAGCTTTAACTCCTTGAAGCTCTGAGTGCTCTGTGCTTCACTGGGACTGATTGTAGGGTTTTGTTTTCTTCTTCTTCTGCAAATCCCTGTAAACACAGCTGTATTCAGTATGGTGAAAAATTCTATCCTGTAAATAGAAATCTGATCAATTTAATCAAAATAAATGTATCCCAGATGACTTTGAGACCAGCTGGCTACCACAGACTTCAGATGCTAAACATTCAATGGAGACGAATGCAGTCTTATATTTACATGTTTTAGAGTTCCCGGATCAGCCTAAAATTTAAAAAAGAATTTTAAGTTCCTTTTCTAAGGAAGAGGTGGTCTTCCCGGCTCACAGGTAGTTGGTTAGATTCAGGTGCAGATGCCGTTCCTGAGATTTGGGACGGCGGGGTCGCATTTTGAGGGCACGTACCATGTGGCAGGGCACGGTCATACTCAATACAGAGCGAGCCTGCGTCTGCCTAGCCATGTGGAGACACGAGTGCCCTGGGAAGAGCCTCTGGTGAAGCTGGGGGAGGCACTTGAGGCTTGTTTTGGATTCGGGTGCCTGAGCTGTGGTGCTCCAAGCCCAGCTTGGTGGAGTCAGCTCAAACCTGAGGGTAAGGAGCTTTCCCAGTTGTCATGGGGAGCTCTTCTGGGCCGCCTGTCTGGCCCTTTCACTGTTTGTTACTATTTCTACAAAGGCGGCTCTGTGTGTTGGATTATGTTTGGCCAGCTGTTGATGCATTCCCGCGGGCGGGGCTGGGTGGGGACCTTATTACTGTACTTCCAAACTGTAGATCTCTGTGCGTGGGGAGTAGGGAGGGAATGGAAAGAAATCAGGTTGGAGAAGCGGATCGCTCTGACTGCTTTCTCCAGGTAGTCCTAGAGCGAATCCAGAAACGCTTAAAGTGGAAAGAAGGAAAAAGGGAATGATGGGGGGAGGGGAGCAGCGAGGGAAAGAGAATGAAACTGAGCAAGCACATATGAGAGAAAAACAGACTTAGAACTTCAAAGCTGCATAGACAAGCAGAATGTCAGCAGCTTGTAATTAGTGGTTCATGGTTGCGTCAGTGACTGTATCTCTCCAAGAATAACTATGTGATGTGTGCCACAAAGTGAAGAAGATAGTCATAACTAAGTTATCAAACCCAGTTCAAACAAGGGCAAATGGGTTAAGGAATTTTCTGTTTGTAAATCTAATACTGATGGATTGCACATCTAAGGCTTGCTGGGTTCTGCATAACTGAAGGCTGATTATCAATTTGTCGCGGGGCGGGGGATACTGTATATTCATTAAATGAAACTGAACCCTTAAAAACGCAGATTAATTGTGCAAGGAAATATCAGCGCCTGCCCCATCAGTACATGCTATTTCCCCACATAGCCCCAAACAGTGCTGCCAATCTCCCTTATCTCTGCATCCACACATAGTTTTTGGTTGCTTGTTTTTGTGCATTAATGTGGAGAGGAGTTAAAAGTTACACTCAGGTCAGTAGGGTCAATTACATGCGACAATTTGCATTTTAGAATTCGAAAACTCCCGTGGAGTCCTGATTTTTGTTGGTGGCCCTCGTATAAACCTTGACGGAGCCTTGGTTGTCTTGAAGCCAAACAGCAGCCTGTTAGTAACCCCATGGGAAGTCAGGGCACCACAGTGGTCGGGATTTGAAGGCCACGTTCGCTTCCCTCCCTTGTCTCTGGTGCTTAGAGATTGTGGTGTAACTACCGCCCCACAAAGAGACGGTGGGAGGAGCTGATTGGTCGGTAGGCTTAGGATGTTTACTCTTATTTGTTTTCAGCGCTCCTCCAGGGCATTCATTTTGTATTTGTATTTGTGTTCACACTGCACAATTACTCCTCGCCCGCTTTGTTCTCTGCCCGAGGAGAAGTCAGTTTTAGTTCAGCTCCCTGCTTTTGGCTGCCCGGCTAATATGTGCATATGTGTTGCGTTACCCATGTATGCATTTCCCTTTTTAATGTGGATTAGGGAAAATCGGAGGCAAGGAAAGCTGTGTATATTAAATCAGTAGCTTTTGGACTCACATGTAATATAATTTAAATATACTTACTCTGAGGTTGCCGACGCTGAGATTGTCGGAGCCCGTTTAATTTACATCTTCGATTTAGTCAAGAAGCGGAACCTGCCAGATCAGGATAGCGTTATTCTGTGCACCCAACAGGGTGGAAGGCATGATTTTGTTTGTGTTAGTTCAAACAGCTGGTCATTAATGCAGTCCCCATTTCTCGAGTGAAGTGCTGGTGGACGTGAATGGCTGCCTGATTAATGCTGCCCCTCCGAGGGTCCTTCACCCAGCAGTCATGCTTGGAGCAGAATAATGTAGCATGATGTGATTGCTCTCTAACAGGGTAGTATGTCATTGTGTCACCAAGCAATTGAGGTTATTATGGGGCAGGGCAGACAGACGGGACAGTGGGGTTACTAGACCGTAGCATTTTTAGAAATACAGGCCTGACCTACTTAGCGTTATTCTCTCCGGCTGGCAGCTGCCTGGAACATAAAGTCTCCTGATAGGCTGAGGCTGTTGCTAGGGGGAATTAGCCTGAATTTTTCCACACGCAGACTCAGTGACTGAATGATAAAAGCTGACTGGAATTAAAGAGATTTGGTTTAGTCTTATACAGATTTATCTGCCCTGTTTTTCTGTCTCAAGTGCAGAGGAAGGGAGCAAAATACACATTTTTGCGTCCATTTTGTTCTTTGACGCTCTTGTTCGCCCCATGGAAGAGGCACCAGAGCAGGGCAGTTATGAAATTTGGGTTAATCTCTTAGGGTTGGGGGTCATTGAAACAGTGTTGCAAATTGCAAGATATTTCAGCTTAAAGACTGCTGCGAATGACTAACAGAAGGTTAGATTATTTTTCCTCTTCTGTGCACTAAGCTGTTTTGAAGTTGGACATGCATCTTTCAGGCACTGTATATTTAAACTCTCTTTCCCTTTTGGGCTTGAACAAAACATTTATATAAATTATTTTCTATCCAAACAGATAGAAGCTTGCAATCTCTGGCTTGTTTAAAATAAAGATAGTAAGGATTCCAGATTTGGACAGGAAAAATATATATATAGCTCTTTTTTTATTACAAAATATTTTTTTCTGGGCTATTTTGGGTTTGGCTTATTTTTCAAAAGCCAGCCTGGTGTTTATGCTCATGGATAAAACTTAACGGCTCCCACCCTACCCTCTTGACTTCACAATGTATGGAAAGATACAGGTTTTTCTCCAGAAGAAAGAATATCTGCTGAATCTATCTGGATATTGTTTTTCCTGGTTGCTGACATACGCACTGCATGTAGAGAGTTCACATAATCAGTTTTATAAGATGATCCATTTTTTTCCGACTCCTGTATTCTCGAAGTATTTCTGTGTTTGTGACTTTTAATGGATCTTTTCCAGAGGCAGATTTTTAATAGCTCTTTTAACGTAAACTGAAAGTCCATCAGGAGAAAAATAAAAGCAATACACAGTCAAGAATACTCTGATTTTTCTTGTTCCTAAACTATCGGTGCTTAAGCCACAGTGTCCTTCTGTTATCTTATCTGTTCCTCTGCTAAAAGTAATCATTATCCTACCTTTTTGATTTGAAATTAATTTTTGTAAGAACATGCTGAGATATCACAAATACACATGAAGCTTGGCTACATTAGGGAGAGGAATAGTGTAGATTCTTGTTAACATCTAACATTGGATTCCTTGGCCACATGGAAACAAAGTAAATTTAAATGTGGGTTTTTCTTTTCATTTCAGATTTTAAAAGTATTCAGGACTATTTCGCTATATATATTTTCAAACAGTGATTTCCACTTACACCAGAGACCACACTCAAAACAATAAAAAATGCTCTGATGGTGTCAGAGCCAAGAAACCCATCAATTTTCTTTTTCTCTTTTTTAAACCAGCATTGTTTACATTTCAGCATATAAATATAGCTTATCAAGCTAAAATAGAGTGTATTTTCTGACGTTGCAAGTGATCTTTCACACCCTTACTAGCTTTGAGAATCCCCCAGATAACATTTTTTTGTAAAGGTTTCCAACCATACTAACAATTTTTCTTTACCAAAAAAATGCCAATTTATGTTTGTTGAATAAAAGCTTACCTTGGTGTGCTGCTCCTTCCAAAATGAAACAATTTCATTTATTATTTTATTAAGTGAACATTTTAACTCTTCTCCTGTGGTACTTTGTTTGGGCCATTGGATGATCATTTAAATATTTAAGTTCAAAATAGACATAAAATATCACTTTAAAATCACTTAAGGGAATTTGTTAGCCTGAGTTTATTAACATTTGTTAAAGGACAGATGCTTCATTTTTATGTTAAGTACAACCTGTGTTCAGGTACCCAGTCAAATCGAATGTTTATTGTCTGATTCATTAATAAATTGATCACACTGAAATCGTTCAGTGTAAGTCTTATTTGGTTGTTAGGTTTTTAAGAATTTTTCACTGTTGTGGCTTTCACCCATTACCAGAGAGAGAAATATTAGGTGGATCAAAAACAAAACAAGACTGAGTGTCATTTATGCTGCCTTGCTATAGTTAAGCTTAACTTCTAGGTACTCACTTTGACAGTGTATGTCCGTGGTATGTAT